AAGAACTTACATAAATGTAATTATGGCTACAGTTCTTATAAATCGGTATAGCAAAGGTCACTAAAACGGTTTTTGTATCTTTTAGATACTTGGACAGAATTTTTCTGACAAAAAATAATTCTGCAGTACAGATTATTTTTCCCAACTGCAAACCCAAGTGTCCACTATGCTCGTATAACCGACTGCTTTGTTTCTCCCATATTTTTAACATGGAGTAGAATATATAAATTTTTATGTTGAAGTTTTAATGGAAGTCTGGAATTATGTATGAGTTGGGAGTTACATACGAAAAGCAATATAACTTCATATGCGCCTAAGGTAGTCGCATAAACTCCTGATTATTACATTTTCCATCGGTTGGTATCATAAGCAATATTTCATTAAATATTGCTCTTCAGCATAGTACTTAAGTTAAAGTTTATTATTATATTTTTAGAAATCCACATAAAAAAATGCCGCAAAATCTGGCGATCTTGGTGGCCAGACGACATCATCTAATGCGGAAATGATAACATTTTTTGCAAAACATTCATCATTTCTCTTGTCGGTTAATTTACTGAATTTTTGGCGTTCACAAAGTTCTGAATCCTATCAAGGAAACACGTGTCAGTGTGAGCAAGGAAATACTTGCAGTGTGACATCAGACCTTTCTTTGTTTGAAGAAGCTCTAGGTAATCTCCTTATTGCAGCACCAGAGGCGCACATTTATGCGGTATCATTTTTCATAAACAGCTCAAAACTTTCAATAAAAGATCATGTATCTACTACAGGCCAGCCAGAAAAATATGCTTACTATAACTGAGATGGATTTTTCAAATTTGCTGTGTATAAACAAGGGGTTTGGAAGCAGTAAAAACTTGCATGATATGCTATTTGAAAACCAAGATAGAAACTTACCTGGACATTTGCAGCTTCAATTCCCCTTCCTTGTGAAGCCCCTCCATGAGCATGTCAAACCTCATCGGCTCACACAATTGCAAGAACCTAACCATCTTCTCGCAGACATTTTTTTCAATCGTGTTTTTGTACCTCTGGAACCAAGCCATCATCTTCCTCGTTTGCAGCAGGCCATGTTTGCTGATAATATTCTTCCATCTTTGTCTTTCTCTCAACCTCCGATTGTAACTCTCTATTATTGCGCATTGGAGTTTGGTCAACATTTCATAGTGAGGATCGTCTTCACCGACATACTCTAGATGAGCAATCATATCTTCGGCATTTTTGTCATAATCATTCTCGAAATCAGAACGTGCCGGATTGTACCCTGCTAAGCATTCGTGACCTATGGTATTCGGTAAGTATCTGGGAGGTTCCTCAGAATCGGCTATCCTTAACCTGTAAGGAACCACAACTTGTTTGAAGCCAGCCGAGTCTCTCCGCATCATTTTTGGCATAGCTTTGCTACCATTACCATCCAGATAAAAATGATCATAGTGATCGATGATTTCACTTAGACTCCTATTCGGAAATTCCTGACTCACCAAATTCCAATTTCCGTAGTTCAAAATTGCATCTAAAAGTTTCATTTCTTCCTCGGCTGTCCAATCACTGTTTTTGAATAAGACAAACTTTGTGCTGAGTATTCTATAGTCGTGGTTGCTCTTATGCTCTCCAAATTCAGCACCGTTAGAGAAACAGGCAAGGCAAATGACGGTATCACATTTGTTACAAAGTATATATTGGTTTGTCACTTCACTATAACAGTTCACACAGTAACTTGAATCGGGATTGTCTAAAAAGAGGATAATTGCCATTATTATTATGTAGCCAGCATAGCAGTTGATATGCACACTATTTACAGATATGTATATTCCACAAATTCATAGTTTCAATATCGTTCATATAGGATACACCAACAATTCATCATATTTCTGCAGAATAATACCTAAGAAAACTACATCAAGAACTGGGCAGCAGAAAAGGACAAACATAAACAAAGGACCGAAAGTAATATTATTTATTTGGGGCTAAATATATAAAATTTGCTACAAAGTACAGACTTACGGAAAAATGTTATGAGAATGTAGTTTCTAAACAAAAATTATAGTAGATTAAATCTCAGCTCCATTAAAAGGTACTCCATGGACATGAAAATTGTTCTGCTCTATGGATAGTAAGCATATAGGGTGATTTGGGACAAAAAAAAACAGTGAGCAATATTTTTAGTCCAGGATGAACATTCAAAAATAATGTAAAAGCATGAAGTTAGGTATTAAAACTATCCCTTAAGATACAAAGCTAATTCCCTAATATACAGAGTGAGCAATTATAAAATTTCCATTTGAAAACATTGCAAGTAAAATTTTGTCAACCAACCTTTTCCTGTGCAGGTCGAAAAAAAAGCGTAACAGATGGTAATCCTACCTCTGGCTTAAGACTGGCTTGCAATAATACTAGCTTAAATAATTCACATTCAAAAAAGCCAACGACATATAACAGTTTGCAGACTGATTTTGTATATGCAATATATTATGATAAGCGGAAACATATCTAGCAAATATGAACCACGATTATACTTTGTATTTTAATACAAAATTCGCAATAAAAGCAGCACAAAGTGAAGTCTTGTGTTTTTGATGGTAAACACTATGAGTGCGAGTTGAAGAATACACACAAGACTTATTCATATCTGTAAATCCTGGCATACAACTGTTGCATTGACGGCTGTAACAATAACGAACAATTACCTAAAAAAGTATTTGCGGGCACGCACGACAACGAAGACTTTGAGAGGTCGTCTTCTAGAAGTAAGCAAAATTTAAAAAAATATAGGTTGAAAAAGCGGCATGAACTTACCTTTGGGAAATTGCAAATCTGCGGCATCTTCTTCAGTGAGATCTGTGTTCGTGTTTGCCATTTTTTTACTCTATATTCCAGTTACAGATTCTTTAATGTTTTTAAACACTATCTGATGAAATGTGTGAAAGCGATAATTTGTTTACTAATCTGGACTCATCCAAAATCACAGAACAGTGAGATTCAACACGTCACACCACAAGCGTCACACATCATAAGTGTCATTATGAACCACAGAACAACGAATGTGGACCACCATCTAGCAGTGCCCTAACCAATGTATTGCTTTTAGACAAAATTGAAAAGGGAAGTCTGGTTAAAAAATTCCAGTAGATGTCGCCACAACTGTTGACTTAGAGACATCTGTCGGTGAAATGATAAAACATAGTATAATCTGTATATGAAATCTGTATCAAAAGTAGTTACGTTTGTTTTTTCTCAGTAGGTGTTTAAACTACAACCGCTAGATAGAAGCTGCTTAACAAACTTTTATTTTTGTTGCCCTAAGGCCCGTATCGTCAGTCGTCCCTACAATTATTGTAGGGCGCGTTTATGGCCTCCTTGATTGTCATACTCTTTTCTCTCCTACAAAAATTTCTAGATTACACTCGTCCCGTGTCAGCGTCCTCCTATTGTTAAGATATGTTTTCCTTTTAAATTGTATGAAATTTCAGGCTGATAAAACATGATATAACTCAAAAGCAAGAACAATTTGATGCAAATAGATGTTTGTGACATAACCTCAAAATAGAGCGTTGACACGGAGAAGTATAAAACTATGACAATCAAGGAGGCCATAAACGTGCCCTACAATTATTGTAGGGACGACTGACGATACGGGCCTAAGAAATACCTAGGTAGCTGGGTAGAAAACGACGTTTTTTGCATTTTCAAATTGCTTATATGTACCTGAGAAAATACAAACCTTAGAGAAAAATTCATTGGAGTGTTTTTTATTCCCAATGACCCAAAAAATCCAAACAAACACAATCCGAAGTGAAAAAATAGTTTTAAGAACATATTATAACAATTTTTGACGCAGCTTTTAATTGTTTAGCTACATGCAGTTTCCTTAGAAGAGGTTCTTTTTGAATGAGCATACGCAAAGAAACGACTTGGAATATTTTTTTGGGGAATGCAAAGATACTTCCCTGGATACCTGAATACCTACCTACGCATGGGTTTACGAAAATCTCATTGAAATAGAAACCGAATATCATTATACAAATTTCTGGAGTAGGTACAAATACCTACGCACCGCGTTTTTTACTTTTGCAACTACACGGGAGATTAAATGGATATTTTATCTTACACATTCCTCTATATCTTGCTTATCCTTGACATCCCAACTTTCTCGATTGTTTTCTCTACATTACAATCCGATTTACATAGCAAAAATGCATAAAAAAATTCAGATCCGTCTCGGTCCTTATGCCTCCGGTTCTATAGCCGTTTTCCGCAAAAAATGTAAACGAATACAATATCGTTGTTGTCTACTATTCAACGTTATTAAAATTCTCATTTATTAAAAAAAAACATAGGATGTCCACCCTAACACACAAGTCAGATGCGGCAATTTTGCTTGTTAACGTACCCATTCAACCAGAAATGAGCTTCGTCGCTGAACACAATTTTTCGATAAAAATGTGGATCTTCCTCCAACTTTTCCAGCGCCCATTCACCAAATTGGAAACGTTGTAGGAGGTCGTGTGGCTTCAATTCTTGCACCAGCTGTATCTTATAAGGTTTTACACCCAAATCCTGTCGCAAAATTTTCCACGTAGAGGCCCAATTGCTGCGAACGGCGGCGAATGGACATTTCACGGCCATCACTAACACTGGCGGATACAGCAGCAATATTTTCTTCAGTCCTCACTCTACGTCTGCGTGTTGGTGGTTTAATGTCCAATAATGTAAACTGGGTTTGAAATTTAGTCACAAGCTTCCGAATAGCTCAGTCAGTAGGCCGACCAAATTGCCCATAAATTGGAAGCAGTGCTCGATGCACTCTCTTAACCGAGCATGAATTTTCATAGTAAAATTCAAAAATTTGCATGCGTTGTTCGTTCGTAAGTCGATACATGGTTAAATTATAGACCAAACTGAACAAGTTTGACAATGACACAAGACACGATTCACGCGTCATCTGTCAAAAACAGTGTTGCCAAAAAGATACTAGCAAAAAAATCACCCATTATATAGACAGCTAAATAGGTATACGAACTAATTTATTATTTTTTAGTTTTCTACATCGAAATTCCTGCACAATCCTGTACAAAAACCATTTGAGGTAAGAGTTTGATTACATTTTTCATATGAATTAAGTTAAAGGTCAAATTTCCAAAGTATAACAGAGGAATTTGACGTCAAATAAATCCATAAAGTTCTTCATGGATTTCTTCACTCAATTAGAACTTATTCTGATTTTTGCCAAGTTGTTTTCCTTTCCAATATCAAAAACTTTTCAATTCAAGCATAGGATGACATAGAACCACAGTTTTCAATAGTATGGTTTTTGTTTATGAGATTCGTCTCAAAATCAAAACCAAATACATATAAAAACTCAAAATGTTTCTAGGAAAAATTTGTTGTGAGGTTGGCAGCACTGTCTGGTGTCAGCACAGCAAAACACAATCAGGACGACCTTGAACAAATCCATCTGAATAAATTCGCGAAGAAATTGTTGATATAAAACGGGTACTACAGATTCATACTTCTGTACTGTTACTACTATTACTGATACTGGCGTCCAAGCATTCCGGAAGTGCTGCCGACCATTTTCCGTCTGGGATACATCTTATCCTTTCTTCAATTTCGGTCACAAACCCAGGGCTGCAAATGACCTCAAGTTCGTCTCCCGGATCGTAAGCGAACTTTGTCGGTGAAACAAAGCCGTTTTTGGGTTCGCCGACGTAAGAACACCGAGGCTTACCTGAAAAAAAATATGTTGACGTTTCATACCCAGTGAACATGACGACGCTAAAATGACGTCATTATTCGGTACTTTTGGTTAGAAACGTCATTGACGACGTATTTATTGACGTCATTTTTATGACGACAACAAAATGTACTTTAAAAGTCTATCATTTTAACGTGAAAATAACATGTGAGTTTCAAGATGGCGGCTGGTCATCTTATCAGTACCTATAATATAAATTTACTACTATTCAAAATGGTGAACTACTGGTGAAGTGATATTGAATATAAATAACTAATCATCAAAGCTTTATTGTATGTTATACCAATGTTCTTCATTTAAAAGTGTCTATTGGAATAAGCGATAAATTGTGGAACATTCAGCTTTAGAGGTAAATTGACAGCTTTTGCTAACTTTTTCAACAGACCGTATAATATTTTATTGAATATTTGGATATCCAATATAAGAAGATATACTGTATCGTTTTCATGATTGTTTGTCGAGTTCTGAAAATTCACATATACGATTGAAAATAAGTACTACTGCATAAAAATACTTAAATATATGTCAAAAAGGAAGCAGTATGTGAGCTCCGAGGGCACCACGTCTGACCTTTCGCCTATTTGCAACGGAGTACCGCAGGGATCAGCACTTGGCCCCCTGCTATTTCTAACATATATCAATGAATTTTACTCTCGGCACGGATGTGGTCAATAAATGGAATGGTATGATGGTATAAGGTGTTATTTTACGTACAGAATGGAGGAGGATGAGACCAGACGCCCATCTCGGTGCATATGATGCTTGCCTCTCCTTCAAGCTTGTAGGCTCCTTCGCATGCGAACTGCACCAAGCTGCCAACTGCGTATCTGCCTCCGTCCATGCCAGGAGCCTCGGACTGGATCAAATGTCCGTTCACTGGCAATACCGGCGGTGGGCACTGGATAGCTGTAATGAACGTTTGACTAATGGGAAAATGTTTATATGAACTTTTTGTCTTAAAATCACTCAAACAACCATCTGTTAAATTTTTGGTACATACTAATCAACAACACTTGTAATTAAGAACATAAGAATATTTCCTCTAGTTTAAGAGAACTTACAATTTTCCAAAAAAAAAAAATTGTTGTCCAGCTCGAACAAAATCTGGATACTCACGCACACATTTGGGTAAAGGCCCTGACCAGTTTCCATTCAGTTCACATTCAATGCCTGGAGGACCTTGTAACCTGTAGCCCCAAGCACACCCGAAGACGGCACGCCCTCCATAGCTGTTGTTGTGCTCTTCCAGGTGCAGGTGAGGTTCGGAAAGACCTTCAGGGGTGTCCAGAGAAGGGCATTTCACCAGTTCACATTTTGGTACTGGTGACGACCACTTACCTATAACGTAAACGACCAGATGGTGAATATAGTTGAAATCACGAAAGATGACGGTTACGTCATCATTTTAGTCTGTGGTAAAGATAAACGACAGCGAATTGTGAATATTTTTAATGAAATTTCAGATATGCTAGACAGAGACAAACAGAATTTTATTGTCTAAACAAACTGTATTGCTAATTTGCATGTACCCGACAAAGATAGAAGATGTTTTCATGTTGCATGATCGATCATATTTGAAAGATGGATAGTTAGGTTATGTTGAAGCAGGTTAGGTTGTTTTCGAATAACTAGTAACTGTTTTTATTCAAAACAAAGACTCCCCACTAAAATTATTATTAAGGTATCACTCAAAACGATGAAATAAAATGAAAATAAAAATAATCAGTGAAATATCCCAACTTCGCAAAGTCATAATATAAATTTGTTGTCATCATGTTCCTGTCATGCGATTTTATCATCGACGTACGACCATTGAATACTTCAGTACAATTTGTGATATGACGTAATAGTCATCTTTCGTGATTTCGACTATCTAAAGTAACAAGTTGTTTGTTCGACGAGTAGTCGACTGGGTACTTGATGAAGTGACTAGTTTATTTCAATTACTAATAACTGTCAGTAATATTGAACTTATACAGTTTGTCGCAGAAGTCCACGTCATGAAACGGGGGATTGTTCAAGTCGTAATAGTTATCAGAAAAATATCAGACAAGTTCTTTACTTTACTGAACTGGCAATGAATTTACGTGGATGGTAACGTTTTTGCATGCAAAAATCGGATGACTGTACGAATTTCGCACCAGGCTCCATTGCGCCTGAGTAAATGTCATCTCGCATGGCTGCCAGGCCGGTTCTGATCGTTGACAATAGGCGCTTCTTGTTGGCAGACCTGACAAACAGGACGGTGTTGCCAGATTTCGCCTAGCATCCCGCGCGGCAAAGTTACAGCGTTTGGAACTTTATTTTTTAAACATTCCTCGTATTTCCCGAATAATGGCAACAACGTTATGACATTTCTTCTGCTCCAGCTTTTGTTTAGCGAAGTTTCCAGTGAGACGAAACACACGTAATGAAAATATATTTACCTGAAGCTTGGCATGTAAGGTTGGCTTCACCTGAGACATAAAATCCTATAGGACACTGGAAAATGGCCATGTGTCCCAGCCTAGTCCCTTCAACTCTAACACTTAGGTGCATGCCAGAGACAGAGATTGGTTCGCAGTGGATGGCTGTATGTGATATGAGAAAAATAGATTTATTTCGAGATCATATGGAACGAGTTTATTATTATTATCATATCGTCATTTTACTTTTAAGGTCTGTAGAGCCTACGTTTTCATGAGCAAGAAAGAACGAGGCGTATGGCGTACCTTAGGATTAGAAACTTAACCGCAAAGGAATATATTCTTATTGCAACGCGAATCTATTAAAGCTCAATTTCATGAAAACCTAGGACGAGGTTTCAAAAGTAAAATGACGAAACATACTCAGTGTGACATTAGAAGTGTTACACCCAGAAAAAATCATTTCGTCAACTTGATTTTTTGGCAATCAGGTAGTATTAATATCTTAAAAAATGCTTACTCGTTTCTGTTGAATTTTGGCATTATTATTAAAATTGCAATAACACTCTTTCGAACAATTTTTTTTGATATGAATATTAAAGTTACAAAAAAGTAGAAATAGTCGCAGAAAAAAACGCCTGACGCTGATTCGTCAACCAATACGATCGTCTGTTGTAGCTCAACCAATAGAAATAAAGAGGATTCTATTTCATCGCACCTAGCGCAAAAAACAGGCAAGATTAGTGCGAACGCTCGTATCAGTAAACAGAGTTAGTCGTACAAAAAATTCCTTATGGTATTGGTTGACCAATACGATCATCGTTTACAGCATATACGTACGCTCTGTTTTGTAGGACTCGCCAATACAGATCGTAGATTTCATTTCTTCACACCTAGCGACGCCACTGGACCTAATAATTTTAACCTATTTAGGTCTGAATTAGCCTCTTAATACAACAAATAATATTGCCAAATTTCAGCAGAACCTAGTTTATACAGGGTGACTTCGAAGTTGAGTCATTTATTTTAACAGTGAGTAGATCTGACCAAGAGAAATGTTTTTTCCTTTAACATTTTTCTGGTAAAATTAAAGTAACAAAGTTATAGCCCTTTGGAAGTTTGAGTACCGCCCTGTCTCAATAATAATATTATGTGCTCGTGTCTGGCAACAACGGATATAATCCGCCTTATCGGTTCATCGCATCGGAAACAAAAAAGCGAAAGAATTTGGAACGATGTTTTTACAATTATTTTATTCAGTTGTATACAGTCAGTGTCAGTCGGTAACGCGTGAGTGAATAGTGGTGTCTGTTGCGTGGCTCAAACGAAATAAAAAATGGCACATGTTTATGCGGATCGGTTTCCCAATCGAGTGCAACCAACCCCTCGTGCCTTTGTTAATGTAGTACAACGGGCTCGTGAATCAGGTGACTTAAGACCTCACAGGGGACGGCATGCCGGTGCTCCAAGACCTCACGATCAAATACAGGTCCGCACTGAAATACTTGTCGGGAGGATACTTTATAAAACAAGGTAAATTTTTTTTTATTTTTACACACATGTTTTGGTTTATCTTCCTTCTACAATCATTATCTGAAAATTAATGACTCAACTTTAAAGTTGAAGTTCTTAATAAAAAGATCTTAATAAAAAAACTGTTTTTATTTAACTAAATTTATCACCCGTGTTTATAGAAACTTTTTTTTATATATTTTTTAACATCATCTAAAATATCTCCGTCTATGTTTCTAACACCCTGTATACCGTTTGATGGAACTCATCAAACCGAACAAAAACATGGTCAATATTAGAATTTATTGTTATTTCTTTATATCCTATTTTTATAGTCTGTTTAAAAATAATAAATAATGATTTTTTCAATATTTGTTTGTGTTGTCAGGGTATTCGTATTGATGGAAATGATAATATTTTGACTTTTTCTTCTTTATTAGAAACCTTTTATTGAGGTTAGTACTTTTGATTCCTTTTTGTTCTTTGTATAATTTTTGGTTAATAGTAAGAGTAATAGTTATTTTATCTTTTATATTTTTTATCAATTTTAGTTTCAATTATACAGGGTGTCCGCAAAGTTGGGGTTTTCCTTTACACGACGTGTAGATCTTGAAAACATAATCAATTTTTCTCAGTACCATATACACCAATGTCTTAAGGGAACCGAGATAAAAGGCTCTGCAACATCAAAAATATCTGAATGGTGAACGGTATGCTCATTGGACCATTTATTCTCCCAAATCGATTGGACGGGATGCAATACCTAGACTTTTTGCGCAACATTTTGCCTTCCTTGTTTGCCTGCGTCAGCTCGGTAGCGCATCAGCTGATTTCATTTTCTGTTGGAGCGGTATGATTTCGGGCAGAGACGTACTTAGCCCTTCTCGTCAACTGGAGAGTGAGTACTTTTTCCTTTATTTTTTTTTACTTGGTCGCCCTCGTTTCACTACACATTACCTTTGTTATTTCAAGGGTAGTTGCTTCTGAAAAGGAAAACCCCAACTTTGCGTATTTATTTAAACATTTCTTATATTTTGGGCAGTGATTTTTTAATCTTATTGAGTTTTTGAATTTGAGGCTGATATTGTTAGCAAGAGATGGAAATGGAAAAAACACTATCTTTGGTAATAGTAACATAACCAATATACACTGAGAACAAAATTTGGTTGACGGCTTGAGTTCATTGTGTACGAGAGAGTACTGTGTATAGACACATTTGTTAGAAAGAGTTAGAAGCCAGCAATCTGCAGCGTTGCCAGAATCTTACACAAAGTCCTTGAATTAAGATGCATGTTGATAGAAACTGTTTAAGTTGTTTTTGAATCTGGTTTCTGCACTAGAAATTTACAGGGTCTTCTGGACGAAGATATTTTAGAGGGTTATTTCTTGTTGAAAAATATAAAAAAAAGATTCCATGAACATGCAGGAATACGGATAAATTAAAAAAATATATATAAATTTGTTGTAGAGTACTTTATGTCATGTCACCTATTGTAAAAGTTGAAATCACACTCTTTCTTAGATTTTATTTGGTTTTTTGTTTTCCAAGGCACTTGTGATTGTTTTAGCAAAAATCAGTAAACCAATTTTGTTCAGTGACATGCAACAAAACGGTTTTTATTTTTTTTTCTCGAAAACGAAATGAGATACGAAAAAAATGCAATATACAAAGAAGTTGTATTCTTAGATACTCAATCAAACGACAAATATTATAGTTACAAAAAAGGCAGTGACGTACAGTTTTTTGCGAATAACATTCGCTAAGGTGCTCCCCGGGACAACAGTGGACCTAATAATTTTATTCTTTTCAAGATATCTATAATTATTCATCTCTGTGTATCTTGAAAATTCCAGACCCATCTTTATAGAAACTTTTTTTCATATTTTTTTAAAATATCTCCGCCTATTTTTCGAGCACCGTGTATGTATAGTTTTCCGAAACACTCACACTGTATATTCGTAAATGGCAAATAAAATAATGGGGGCCAACGACCTGTGATAAACGTAATTTTATATGGAAGAGGGTATGTTTATAAAAATGACATAATATTTGTGGCACCATTCGCATTCATTTTGTGTACTTTAAAAATTTCCACTGTGTGAATACCACTAATTATAATTGTCGTTGTCACAAAAAATCGCTATACATCAACCGTATTATCATTTAAGTCAATTCGCGAAGTTCAAAGACTTCGGTAATTTATATTTACATATCATCGCACATGTGTATGATATAACTCGCGGATTATTATTTGCAAACTGTGCTATCAAAAATTGCAAAATGTGTAATTAAGGCTTGATTTTACTTGATTATTTGCACTCATTAATTTGAATTTTGCCATGACCTTTATGCCTTATATCTCACTTCCCACACAAAAGCGAAGAAGATTGTAATTTTTTCACCTAATAGTGAAGCATTTTAATTCTTGTAAAGCACTGATTTTACCTTCAGAAGATTTCAGCGTCCATTGCCTATTCTGAGACCAACAACGACCGCAAAATTGTTTTTCGAGTCCTAAGTACATTTTATTACTTGATCAAAAATGTGCAAATTGTAATCATTCTTACCATCTTTTGAGTAAAATATATCCCTAACAACTTTCTAACGCTCATCCAAAGGACGGGGAATGCCTTTCTACGTTTTTTTTTTTCAGAATTCAGTAGAAAATAATCCTGTTTATTGAATTATACATACAGAGTGTCCCAGATTCGCGTCTCTATACAGGGATCTCGACTCCTGTTATAGCAACAGCAAAGGTTAAATGGGGAAAGTTCTAGAGGAAACTTAGGGCTTTCGATAGCCGGCCTCAGATTTACAATAGGTCAATTGGTTTTGGAAATATCGGGGAAAAACCGAAACGAATCTGGGACACACTGTATACTTACGCTTCTAGCTTCCCAAGTGCACTACAGCGTATCGAAAAATATTCGGTGGTACGATGATACGAGCCCTTTGTTATAAGCGTCGCGCAAGTTCATTCAAATTCAAAAAATTGCTTTGTTTGCGAACATATATTTTGATAGTTTTGACACGTTCCAATATTACCTGCTACATGTAGTGTTACGCTGTTAGTTATTCCCCTCGGCGTCGCGCAGGTGAAAGTTCCGGAATCTTGTGGCTTTGCGTAATAGATTGATAGTCTGTATTTCCAATCTCGTTCTTCTGGCGCGATAGCCCAACCTGAGAAGTATTTGGATTTAATTGAATATACAGGATTGTTTAAAACAGAGCTACAGCGAATACTGTTCTTTTCACCACGAAATGTCCATCATTTTTTCTTAACGCTTGCATTTGGGCAATGCTTCTCGATGCTGCTTTACTTGGCTAGATATTAAACGCAAGAAAACTTGACTATTGTACACCTGATAATCTACATGCAGAACATATAGCAATATTTAAATCGAATTATCATCGTCATGTCACATGATTAGAACATAATATCGGGGAAATTTAATTTTTAGTTCTTTTAGGTGTTTCGGATATCTACTAGGTACATCCCCCAGGAGGATATGGTTTTTTTCTGTTATTGGCACTGCATGCTCGATGACCAGATCTTTAAGTTCAGTATCAGGCTCTAATAGAAAATAGAACATCCATTACTTAACATTATATTACCACTATACTGGATCCTGTTATAGTGTAGCAGCAGAAATGCACTAATTTAACTTGATTGTGCATTTATATACACCACTATTTACGTTTTACTAATTCTTATGACGCCATTGACTGCACTATACTCCACTCCGCTCTGCTACTCTACCGTATTCAGTACTCTGCTTCCATCTACCGGTCGCCGAGTTATATATAGTCCCCATTTTTGCTTCGAGAAAGGTCTGGTGAACCACAAAGCGACATCTAGAATATTGGAGGTCACTTCGCGTCGATCTAGCACGTGTCCTCACAGACGCCGCCAAGCGGCTTGTGCGATCGTGGTTCTCGTAAAAGCAGAGATCGGCCATTAAGCTCTGGCGAGTAGGAGACTCGCCCAACAGATGGCGCCAACAGTACTACTTGTCACAATAGTTACATAGAGTATGCGAACACAATTATATTGCTGTTTCTTTTTCGAATCCATACTTTTTAATTATTTTTTTCCTGTTTTGCACTTTGTTTTCAAGATTGTTTTCTTATTTTAATATATTTGTTGCTTTATACTGTTATATTTCTTCTTTTTTTATATCTTCTTGTTTTCTTCATTTTTTCACAAACAAACTAACTGTAATTTCCATCTTATAATGTTCTATTTTCCGACAATGCTTGTATAAAAGTTCGTAAACTTGCTGGTTCTCATAACTGAGAATTGATTCTAAAATTAGAGGCTTAATTAATCAATTAATTTATTATTGATTAATAAATTAATTCTTAAATAGATTATGAATCCGATATCCTGGACTATTAATTGTTGCACTCTTTGGAACTGATTGATGTGTTAGAGTGATACTGATCGAAATGAAAGTGATTATAACAATCAAATGACTTTGGTCAGTAGTAAATGGTTTCTATTACAAACTGAACAGGGCAGGGGACATAATATAAAAAGAACACAATTATTTGCACCTATCAATTTGATTAGTACAATCTGAACGAAAGAATACAACAAGGGAATAGGATCTATACGCAGGTTTTTTGGCACAAATGTTGATGCACGTTCAAAATACATACGTTCTTATAAATATGTACTCGGTGACAGTAGAAGTGTTACACCAAAAAAAAAAAGATTTTTCAACTTAATGATTTAAACCATGCTGTGGCAACAATGTCAACGTTTTATCTTTGTTAAAATGTTATCTCTTAGTTTTTGTGAAGAAAGCAGTTTCTGAGAGCTGAGAAGTACAGATATTTTCGTTATTGTCCATATTAGCGACTTTGACAGGAGTAGAATTATCGCCTATCGAGATGTTGGTTGGTTTGTCCTATCGCGAAATTGGCCGCCGTGCGTGTGTGGAAGAACGTAGAGTAACACAAGAAGGCAACTGGTACACCGAGCGTCAAGATAAGCCCTACGAGACCGTTTTGCCACTACGTCACATCGTTGACCAACATTTTGGAGGAGATTTTTTCCATATCTTCCACGGTTAGTGCGTCCTCTAACTGCGGACCATTGTCGTTAAGGTTTGAAGTGGAACAGAGAACGGCAACATTGGGAGGCAGAATAGCAAGACTACCTCATTACCAAGAAATCAAGTGAATAAATTATTTTTTTTTTTTGGTGTAACACCGAGTATATATTAAAACGTATATTTTGAACGTGAATTTGTGCTAATTTAGTGCCAAAAACCCTGCTTATAGATCCTATTGTATCTCATAGATATCATCTTCAAATTTGAGTTATTTTCCTGCTTTTACACCCCTCTCATCTGAACATAATCATCATAAAACCTTGCTGTGGTTACAAAAATAGTAAAACAAACAAAGCAGTATAATTATTTTTTTACAAAATCTTTATTCCTCGTCCATAAAAATACATAGGCAGGAATAAGAAACATATCTGACAAATAACAGTACACTAAAGAGGAATATTACCTTATAATTTCTTCAGATTTGCTACATAATGATTGGATGCTAATGAAGTGAGTATAAAGATTATTGATAATGCTGCCATTTGTAATCAATTTGATTATGCTGCACAAATTTTGTTTTAATTAAATATAATTAATTAATATTTTATTTTTAACGGCTGAGAATTATGTTACACAACTATAATTTACTTAATAAGATATTTCTTGGTTTCAATATGATGGCTACAATAATTTCCTTGTTCTCAGGCCATCCAGACTGTCTGTAATTAAATCAATAAGTGATTTACAGCATTGATTTAGCAGCATTTTGAAAAAAATTCATTTGATTCTCAGTCTCTAGTATCAAAAACAAAGTTTCTACATTCTTGATACATCCATAACAAACTCAGATCATTAGACAATTTTAGAATATTTTGCATGATTCCAAAGAAATAAAATATCAATGAAGCAAGGCCTGAAAATAATGTGTTGTTTTGATCAATATGCGAATCAATGTGAGAAATAACTTTGTTACAGAAGATGATTGAAAAGAAAACGAGTATAAAGAGTAGGTTTGATTGCAAAATATTATCCCCCAACCCCACCCCTCCCCCCCCAGAGTAATTCATATATACCAAGGTAAGCAAACTTTTACTGCTCATCTTTCTCTTTTTTCATCTCATGCATTTTTACTCAGTTTTGAATTCCAACTCCACAATTTCAACATTTATCTTCAGAAACCCACTTCAAAGATACTTTTTATTTTACACAATAACTTTTATAATTTATTGATTTTCTGTGTCCTTGAATTCATCATAATTACTAGTACTAGTACTAAAGCAATTAATAAAGGTTCCAGTGATTGTTTATTATATCAACAAACTTTTCAAGAACAGACATATAAATTACTGTAGAAAATATTCATGGTTTTATGTTACTCCCACCCAACATGTATCAGTACAAAGAGAACAACTGGGCATATGAAAGATAAAGGCTTAATAGAGACAAAGGATTCACATTTTTTCCAATAAATCATTTTGATGTTCTATGTAAAACAATTCAGTTTTGTAATTTGTTTTTTTAGATATACACCAACATTTATATTAAGGATTCATGCAGGATGATGTTGGGATTCAAATTGAAAATTCTTGACATGAACCTCCATATAAATGGAATTGTATTACGATCTAGATCTGCCTTTATTAATATAAATGCTTTTAATGTGATTTATATGCAATTTGAGAGCAACTTTCCACCAAATTAAATTTCATCTGAAAGACTGAAAGTAAATGATCCTAGACTCCATCCAATGCAGCATTAACAATAAGCAATTTCACTAGTTTGAGAATATGATATAGGAAGTATGTTAGTGCACAGATGACTATTTTTTCAATACAGAAAAAAGTATGAGTATGATATATGAATTTCTGTGGAAAGTTTCAAATCGAAACTAAGAATTTTTTTGGGATGATTCAAAAAAAGGTACTCTGCTCTAACTGCACCATTATTTTCAAGATCCTTGATTATATCTCAAAAACAGACGAGCAATCTTGACACTGCACATTTTTTCAAAAAAATGTAATGCTTTTGTTTCAATTAAATACACATCTTTCATATGCTCAATTTTCTTGTTCATATCTTAAAAAGTATATAAGTTATGAAGGAACTATGATGTACATATGTTCACATTAGTGTGGATAGAAGTGTTTTTATGTTATCAGATATGAGTATATTTAACTACCTATAAAAGCTGTTGGAATTGAATATATAAAAAATACAATTATTATGAACAAATACCTTTAAAGGTGTCAATAATTCCAACATCTTAAAACATTCTTAAAATACAGTGATGACTTGAAACTCGTAATACTTGGAGGAATGTACAGTACAAAAATATAAAAATATATACAGAAAATGGTCACAGTTCAAGTTAAAAAGACACACACGTAACACTTATGCACTCGGCAGAGACAATAACAGAAAAACTAGATCACAGCAACTCTTGTTTTTTTTATATAAAAAACTCGTCGGAGAAATTTGTAGTCCTACCGTGTGAGTCTCTTGAGATTCCTTTTGCTCTGTTTCGAGCAAACTGCAGGCTGCTTAATTTTCGGCGGACTCGATGGCTCCACAATTTCAACTGACTTTTTCGTATCCAGCGGTACGACTGGTAAAAGGGATGTGCGTCGTTTACTTCTCACGCTTTCCTTTCCAATGTTCGCGTTGCTAACTGCTAAGATTTTTATCTCGTTAGACGAAAGTGTTTTGGTTTTCACAGTTCGTTTCGGTGTGACTTCGACATCAGAATAAAACCCTGATGATTCGTATTTGCTTGAGGTAAGTGAGCTTGTGAAGAATGAGGTACTGCTGTCTGTTGCGTAATCACTGGTGGTGCAATTGCTGAGATCACTCAGGAGGTTTCTGGGCTTAGGAACATTTAATTGAGCATGGCGGCAGTGATCTTTGAATTCCTCAGGATCATTAGAGAAACTGTTACACTTTTGGCAAAAGATGTAGCCACACTGGTTTAGGTTTTGGCACTGAGCAATGTGATTTTCTACTACAGACGCTTTGTTGCATCTTGGGCACTTGATCAACGATTGGTTTTTATTCAAGCAGCTTGCTATTTCACGAAAATACATGTGGTTTTTCGATCCGGGACTGGCATCTTCATATCCTGAATCCTTTTCAGGTGATGACGGTGGAGTTATTTTATAATTCTCTTTGAGCAGCTTATGCATTTGTAGGTAGTTGTAGTACCTAGTCTTAGCATCTCTATTCACTATTATTGCTTCTTTAAAGTGCTTCGATGTCTGAGATAACCGATACAGGTCACCATTAGACAAATACTTTAGGATCTGCCGCATTACTACAGCGTTTGAAAGAACAGACGTAAATGGATCCTTGTTATGCTGAGAAAACAAGCATCTCTTTATATACGAAGCGTTGACTTTTTGAGGTGTTACAAACTGCCTTCGGGCAGGATCCAGGCAAGGAATTGATGGGTATAGGATATCATAAGCATCCTTGTTTAACGGTGACTGTGATACGAAGTTCTTTGCAGCAGTGCTAGATGCAGCCCGGATAGACTTGATTTCCTGTTTATCTGGGGTGTTTGGCAGGGAACAAAACCGCTTGTTACTACTCCTACTTATTTCCTGATCCGTCGGTGTTTCTTCGAAAATCGTGCTTTCTCCATGATCAAGATGAAAGTTCTCGAAATGGTTGAATAAAGACTCGTTCAATGTACTAGAAAACGGTGGTGTTTCCGGACACGTTACCTCGCAATCTTCCAAGTCTGTTGCCTTTCGTTTCCTCTGATTCTTGATCAGCTTCGGAGTTTCTGCTGGGGTGCTCTGGAACACTGAAGGATGCACAGCTGGGGTGAAGTAGCAGTCCGTATTCTGCGAGGCAACAGGTGTCCCTTCCATTTTTGATAGACGAGCGTCAATAGAAATCTCCAACTAGCCCGGGATCATCACCACAAAACTACACCTACACTTGCTAAACGCTTGAAATGTCTCCTTACATTTCACCGAAAGACACCAAACGGGATTGAAGATCGAAGGCAAATCGAAAGAGGTTATGCGACGTTGCCAAGCAACATCCGTAAAAATGTCACATGTATTCTTCGGTATGTACAGGGTGATCGTGGTGAAAAAACTGCGGTCATAAGACGTTGGGATGTCTAAATGTGGTCCAATTAGTTGTTTTTGCATAAAGGGCGTAGAGTGGACGTTTGCGATCAGCGGCTTCAAATTATAGCTGCAGAGTTCCAAGGGGTCTAACAGGCCATGATACGGGGGATGTCTTTTAAGTTTTGCATATATATACTACAGTGAATTTTTAAGTATCACCAAGTCATTGAAGATAGACATGTGACATATTGCGAGATTGAGGTGTCCTTGAAGATCTCAAAGACCTCAATTCAAAAAATTTTACATGAAAAATTAGGAGTAAGAAAATTAGTTTCTCGTTGGATACCAGAAAATAAACGACAGTCGGCTGTTTGGGTGTTCCAAGGTGAAGAAAAGCCACCAAAAGTCATCCGTTCTCGAAGTGTTTAGAAAAAGATGGTCGCGACATTTCTGTCAAAAGCGGGTCATATTGCAACAATTCCTCTTAATGAGCAAAGAAGTGTTGCTGCGAATTGGTATACCACCATTTCTTTGCCAAAAGCCATCACCGAGCTTCGAAAAATCAACCCCGAAAGAAGTATCATCCTCCACCAAGACAATGCAAGCTCGCACACAGGCCAAAAAACAAGGCAGTATTTAACGGAAGAAAACGTGGAATTATTGGACCATCTTCCATATAGTCCCGATCTAAGTCGTAACGATTTCTTTACCTTCCCGAAAATTAAAAACAGACTGCGTGGTCAAAGGTTCCAGTCACCAGAAGAAGCAGTTGACGCATTCAAAAATGCCGTTTTGGATCTGCCAGCAAACAAGTGGAATAAGTGCTTCGAAAATTGGTTCGAGCGCATGCAGATGTGTATTAATCTTCGTGGAGAATACTTCGAAAAACAATAAAGTCATTTAAAACTACCTACCGTGTTGTTTTATTTCCATATATAAAACTTAAAAGACATCCCTCGTATACGAATGAACGCTCACCACGAAGAATTTTATTTAAGATTGGTTATAGGCGATAAAAAAAACTAGAGTAGGCATCAGGTGTACTAAAAAATAAATAAAAGAATGGTACAGGGGTGCCGTAAGGCTGTTACGTAAAAACAGCTATTGTAAAAAACCTACATAAAGTCACACAAAACTTATATCATGTCAAAAAAAAACGACATATAACATAATACCTCTGCCGGTAGTTTGTGTATTTGCCTAGCAACAAGTGCCCCAGAGCGTGAAGAATCCCGTAGGCTAAAATTGAGTCTCAATGCCAATAAAACCTATTCATAAAGGTTAGTTTACCGCCCGCGCATATATAATAGCAATTTATTTACCTAGGCGCTATGTGCTGTACGAGATAACGAGCCAAAATGGACGTATACGCCTCTCACGCCCGAGATAGATAACAAATTTGATCTCTGCATGACTGCCAAAATCAAAAAGTTGCTAGTAGTAGTGTCACCTGTTAATGATTTTAATTAATGACGTTTATTCTAACCGCCTTATTGTGTCCAACATAGATTAATTTATTATATACATAGACCGTAAAGTAGGATAACGACCAAAAAGCTTACTCATAAAGCATACTCCAATTCCGCTTTCCAACGTCAGTGTATGTTTTTTACAGAATAATCAATAAAAATGAGGCCTTCTTCAGAGTAGTGTTGATCCTCTAGATTTCTGATGACGTCCGCTTACAAACGAATATAAACATTAAGGATTTCCATTATATTACCCCGTATATTCATAAGTCACACCTATTTCCCTGGAATATTTAACAATCAGGCAACAGCGCATTCGAGATGCAGAATTAACAACACAGTAGACAGCTGTGTCCGTCTCCGTCATTCGCAGAAAAGAGAAGCTTTATCTAAATAACAATGCACCATTGGCGTAACGAACTGCCAATGGCAGACGTTAGCCTACAGTACAACCAGTAAAACTAAGGAACCAGCTAGGTACGACTCCTAGAAACTGGGAAGAAAAACTAGTTTGTCTGTTTAGTATGCTTGTTATACTCGGAAAGTACTATTCTAAGCGAAAAAGCTTTTCAGTTTCTGAAAACTTATCCAATATCGACAGAGCTCCTGCTAAAATTTCTTGCCCTTCTTACTTAGAAGCATGTTTATCCTTAGCGAGCAAAAACCTGGCAACTTTAAAATCTAATTCAAGTTGGCCACCTACTTGAAGCTATTTTATAGTTTCACTCCTCACAATGTCGTTTTGGAGGCTAATAACTATAAATATAGCAAATAGCTGCCCCCTTGCCCTCCCTGGGTACGCCCTTGATTACAAATAACGGAATCAAGCGGCTGGATGTAAGTTTAAATATTGATATTAAATGCTTGACTTATAAGGATAGCAGGAAGGCTGAAGAGGTGAAGAACGACGTACTCCTTATTCTATACTATTTCTTTGTACAGGATCGCTTCGTGTATAGAGGGCGATCGAAAAAGAGAAGGAGATATTTTAGATTCCTTGTTAAGAAAGATGAAAAAAGTTCGTATAAACATGGGTCCGGAAATTCAGTTTTCAAGATATAGCTAGGATGATAAATTTAAAAAAAATAATATCTTAAAAAATATATAGGTACTCGATTCTGTTGAAATTTTGTAATAATATTTGTTGTATCAAGAGGATATTTCAGCTCTAAATAGGTTAAAATTATTAGGTCCAATGGCGTTCCGGGGGCACCCTAGCGAATATTATTGGTAAAAAATGAGCGCCACTGCTTTTTTTGTTTCTTGTATTTTTTCTCACTTAGTTTTCGAGAAAAAAAAATAAAAACAGCTTTATTGCATATCACTGGACAAAATTGATTGATTAATTTGTGATAAAAAAATCACAAGTGCCTTGGAAAACAAAAAATGGAGATTTGACATTTGCGCGTCAGTCCAAACGTCAACAGAATCGAGTAAATATTTCAATAAAACTAAAAAAACTTTTTACTTTATCACCATGTATCTTGAAAACTCTGCATTTCCGGACCCATGTTTATGAAAACTTTTTTCATATTTTTTAATCAGGAATCACACAATGAAATATCTCCGTCTATTTTTCGAACACCCTGTATATACGGGATGGGCTGCCTTTTCATAAATGTTTAAACTTTTTATATTCTTCTATTTAACTTTTTATACGAAACAAACATACTGTTTTTGCTAATTATTTTATAACTTGTTACTATCTATTTTATTCTAATTTTGTCATATATATTTTGCTATCATCATTACCTATATTATTATTATTATTAATAAATAATGAAAGGTGATTGGGCAGCAATGTCCATGAATAAGTCCTCTCATCATCATAAAATACTTCTGGTAGGGGAACCAATATCTTATCTACGATACGTGTAGAACAAAATCTAGGGTAATTGAGGATACGCATCATATTCTAACCGAATCGGATAGTGTGACCAACCTGTTAAATATTGACCTAATGGAGACGTCCATGTCCAATCGGGAGATCCGATTCTTCGGGAGAAAATGCATTCCAGATGAATCGTGGAGCCCGGAAAGGCTGCCAACTCACCTCCAGGTTCTACTGATGCAGATCCGGAAGGTATCCTTATTAGAATTGACGGCGGCGCATCCTCTGTAAAATGTTTATAGGTATTGCTAGCTTTGTCAACAAAATGATGTTTAAACATCAGCAATTTTATAAAAGGAAACTGTTTCTTAAGACCCCAATTTATTTAACTACCAGGAATTCCATGATAGTAAAGATCATTAGTAGACTGGTATTCTATACTAAATTTTGAATAGTCGTTTTGAATGATGCTCTGAGGCGAACGAACAAATAAAACTTACTATGCCAATTTTTAAGTTGGCAATGACAAACCATGTTGGTAACGTACGCCATCTGTTATTGAAAAAAAAGGCAAGTGGAATAATTCTCTTCTCTGTTCCTAGATGGCGCAAGCGGCACCAAATGCACCAATTTTATTATTAATGTGATAATAAATCAGACTCTAGCCACTGCCTATTCAGGATATAGAACTTTATTAACGTTAAAACAGTGAAATAAATATGATAGTTTTGTATGTAATAAATTCCGCTACATTTTGGGCTAATTTGCTCTACCGCCGCTACGCCGTTCTTCTCAAAATAATCCGCAACAAATAGCGGAATTCCGCTACGTATGGCAACACTGGTTGGTATTAATGAAATGTCAAGCAGCATGACAATTGACAATGCGCTGTCACAATGTTGCCCGCGAATCAGTCCTGTCACGTAGTAAGTTTTAAGTTCTTTTTCAAATAAACTTAAGCAAGTTAAAGCCTGTGTCCATTTATTTTGAATGCGCCCTGCTAACACCAATGAACAAATTTGAAAAGCGTACTTTGATATTTCGTTTGATTTGGGAGCCCCATCAAGTCGGCATCTTAGGCACGTGCCCCAAATGCCCATAGCGTGAAGACCATTCGTTTAGATTTTAGATTATTGCGTCTAACCGCAGAAAAACACAGTGCTAGAGACTGGGCGGCGCACATGACGATCAGTTCCGTTATTTATGAAACGCACCCTGTTATTTACCTGTGAAGTTTGTGAGAAGCGTGGTTGGAACACAAGACGGTAGTCTTGCACTCCAGGCTCCGTTTTGGCATTGTGGTGCGGAAGTGCCTAATAGTTTGTAAAGTCCCAGTTCGCGACATCTCATTTGCAGCTTGGCGCCGTGCGGAAAATCCCATCCTGTGGACTGAGAAAGATCAAATGACAGACTTCAGGGATAATTCATTATAATTTACTTTACGTTGTAGAGGGTGGCCCCAACGAAAATGTCGCGCCGCCATTTGTGACTCTCCTGATATATTTTCGGAGAAACGCTCGGAAACGTCAATTTTGATTTCTAGGGGGACGTCTTTTCATCAAGTTTATACATATCTTCAATCGTTGTGAAGTTATTCGAGTTTATAATAAAATTCTAGAAATTGTGATAATAAGCGATAGCTTAACACACGCAAAAAGACAGTGGCGTACGATGTGTTTTGCTCCTCCCTTCCGTTATGGTACCGGACTATAGTAACGTAGGACTGTATACTTACACGAATAGTCACATTCCGGAAGGTGATAAGAAGATGAGGATTGATGTGGTCTAGTTTGCAGTTCCTGAATAACGGTTGAAACCTTCCGTTATCTGAAATTATGACAGTATTAAAAACTATCCTTTATTACTGATCGAGATATAATGCCTACGCTCAAGATTGCCAGTAGGTCAGTAATAAATATCAAAAATGATAGTAAAACAATTGTTTCTTCGCCTATTTCGAAGCGAAAGGTCAAGCTTCTAACAATGGGTTCTTTCCGGTAAAAGCTTCCGACTATCCCGAACATTTCTTAAAGAAAACCAGACTAGTTCACAGCTTATTTCCAGTGGTTTTTGGTTTCAATGCATGAGAACACAAAGTGCATTGGAACGATATTGGTCCCGAACACTATTGAGTAACTCCGGGTAACTCGAGAGGGCCAATGGAAAGCAGCTCAGTATAGTCAGTGCATAGATATTCAGCATTATATTATTTATTGGATGAGTCTATTTAACAGTCCCTGAGAGATAGAGGCTGCTTATTCGTTTGAACTGATTATACCGGGTGTTCCAAAGTCGACCCTTACCACTGGAATCCCGGAGCCGGTAAGAGATCGGTTAGATGAGCAAGGAAAGACTTAGAGAGCTTCGAAATTCAAGGTACAGCTCGTCAAGTGTAGGAAGAGATGCGAATTTTTAATAAGATATAAGATCAAAGGCAGTTTCACCGGCCCACGTGGAGTAAAGCACGCCTATGCGTGGACATAGCCAATGAGAGAAGTGTGTATTTCAGAGCTCCGAACAAGTGCAGGTGGCTACTGAAAATTGAAACAGTTTAGCCAGTGCCGTGTAGCGGTGAATAAACGTGTTTTCTTTAGTCTGTCCGTGTTTTTCATAGATTTTATTAGTTTGTGTGTTTTTGACTTTTGAATACTCAGTTTACTTGTTGATTTAATTGTTGTGTTGATTGTTCTAGTGTGTCCTAAATATGGCTCTTTGGAGACCTTGGGAAAATGCTCCAAGCCAAGAGGAGATGGTTGATGAACCTGTACAGGCAGAATCTTTCATAAAGATTTAAAGGAACAGACCCAAAGAGTAATCCTAAATATGTATGATGTCTGAAAAACGAAATCCAGATTCCTCGCAAAATCAAATTTTAAACAGAATTTGTATCCTGACAAAAATCAGTCGGTCTACCATTTATCGGGTTATAAAAAGGGGAGATGTATAGTCAAACATTCCTTCCACAGTAAGCGCATAGGGCAAAAAATTAAAAAGAATAGACGTGGGTTTTCAGGAAGATATTCGTCGTATAATATACGGATTTTATAAAGAAAATTTGGTGCCACGTTGGAAATGCTACGGGATAAATTAAAAGATTATTACAAATGCTTAGACTCACTGCACTGTATTGTAAAACTGTGTGGTTTTCAATACAAAAAATTAGATAAACGAATGGTGATTATGGAGTCGTCTCGAGTCGTTGAATTGCGCCAAGAATTTTTGCACAAAGTTCAAATCTATAGAGAGCAGAAAGAAATCTGATCTACCCTGGATGAAACGTGGTATGATACCCATGATGTTGTGCAGTACGGCTGGGTTGACGACAGCAACAAGTGCATTTTAAATGCACCATTGCAACCGTGGAAAACGAATCATTATTCTCCATGCTGGCAGTGAAAATGGATTTATACCTAATGCCTTGCTGTTATCTGCCAAAAATACAAAGAATCATGTGCCGATCATGAGACATGACCTCCGACTTATTTGAAAGTGGATAGAGCAGCAGTTAATATCAAACATTTCCTTCCCAAATTCAGTGATTATTATGGACAATGCGCCATACCATTCCCGACAGAAAAACAAAATTCCGAATACAGGCACAAAAAAACAAGACATTATTGATTTTATGAAGGATAAGGGAATGGAAATACCACAAAAATCAACCAAAGCCATATTATTGGATCTTATTAAAAGACAAAAATTTGAAAAAGAGTATGTTGTTGACAATCTGCTTCAGCAAAATGGCCATGAAGTATTACGTCTACCTCCCTATTACTGCATTTTTAACCCGATTGAGTTGGTCTGGGCTGCTTTAAAAAAAAAGTAAGAAAACATAATCAGACCCCTCAATTAAGTGAATCGCTATTGGCCACAATAAGAGATGCAGTATCTCATATTGCTGCCACAGACCTATGGAAGCAGTGTTCTAGGCATATTATTGAAAAAGAAAATGAATATTGTGTTTTGCCTCCTGTAAATCCCGTTGTAATTCCTCTACAAGATGACTAGCGACAGCTCCGAAGGCGAGGATGATATAAATACCTATAATGTAAGTCTTTATATACCTTTTTATATACCTACCTGCTATGTAAATATTTGCCTATGTCAAACGTTGGAATTCTGTAATTTTTCCATTTCTTAACTTTCAGTCAACATAAATTAAACTCCCAATATAAGTATTTTTTATCCCAAATCAAAAAATAAGAAGATAGTAAAATCCATTTATTGTGATATAAAAACATTATTATTATCGTTCTAAATAAATCACCGCACGCCTATGATACGTCATGAAATTACAAAGGACGCGCCGACCAAAGGTTTTTATGCTATTTCAAGTGACTTCAGATATACCATACACCACTATTCATGTCTGACTAATTCTTATGTCGCCATTGACTGCACTATACTCCACTCCGCTCTGCTATTCTACCGTATTCAGTATTCTCCTTCCATCTCCCGGCTGCCGAGTTATACAGGTATATAGTCCCTATTGCTGCTTCGAGAAAGGTCTGGTGAGTCACCGCCACGGTCCTCACAGACGCCGCCAAGCGGCTCGTGCAGCAGTGGTTCGCTTAAAAGCAGAGATCGGCAATTAAGCTCTGGCGAGTGGGAGACTCGCCCAACAGATGGCGCGAACAGTACTATTTGTCACAATACATACAAATTTACGCTATTAATTGTCGCCATTTATCCCTTGGTGTGCTATTTGATTTTAAATCAAAATTACAACGTAAAGTTTTACCAGGACAAACTAGGGAGGTTGTAGCAAATGTTATATTCTTTATGCAACGAGAAGCAAAAGGAAATAAACCTCTCAAAGATTTGAAGAAAGTTCAAGAGCGTGCAGCAACAGGAGTTAGTCTGTCGACTATTAGGAGGATTTCTCGCAAAATGAAGGTGCTTTTTCGACACCAAACAAAAAAAGGTCAAGAGCCACTCCGAAATCTGATTTCGACGACTTTGATAGAGGATTGAATAAACTGTTTTTGTTTCCTTTTGACTTATGCCAAGAACTTCGATTAAAAAAAGCAGGCTTCACATGATACGTATTCCAATATTGTAATTATTCGATCAATTTAGGACGCAGATTTTACCACTCGAGATCGAATGGCTATTGTACGTGCCCATCTCTTTTGCCTCGATGCGTTCTCCCTCTCTCGTGTGCGCATCGCAGCAAATCTTCATATCTCTT